ACAAATGTAGATGTAGTTCGAAGATTTCCTCACAACTCGCAACGTCACATCCTAATCTGGGTTCATTTTTTGTAGCTCACGATCAGGAAAGCAGCGGAAGCGCAAGCGCAAGGATGGAGACGGTAATAATCAACTTCAGGAGGAAAAACAGTACCGCGTCATAGCTACTGATAATGTCACAAATGTTTACATGAGTACTGTGGACGATTGTCTATCGGCCACTCCTTTAAACAGCATAATTCATTATGATCTTCCTACTCCTCAAGTACTTATAGACTCTACTGGAACATTCAATGTTGAAAATGGAGATATGGGTGAGAAATTTGATGGAAGTAGAAGGAGAGACGAATATGATTTGAAACTTATCGAGCTCAAGGCAGCAATCTCTGCCAATATGGTTGATTCTGATAAAAAAGCAGAGTCTTCTAAAGATCTTGGCCTTGTTTATGATGATTCCAAGGCTGATTGCGCGGTGGGTTCCACTCAGGGAAGTCACTCCATTGGCGCCAAGAGAAGGAAATCTAGTAGGGTGAAAAGGTTCACTAAGGAAGCAGTCTCGTCTGAAAACTCTGACCACAGATTAAAACAAAATGGAATTGCTGTAAACATGGAGCCAACTGATCAAAATGAACAATTGGGGCCCGAGAATCCTAGTTTGTCAGGCCACTCCAGAAATGTAGCTACTATAAGAAGGATTATCAAGCCTGTTGGTTATTCAGTTTCAGTATCAAATAACATCCCGGATGTAGTCGTGACCTTCTTGGCTGTGAGGTTTGTCATACAACACTGACCATTCCTTTGTGCTGTTGAGTATTACTGTACGTTTTCTCTATTGAATAGTCATTAGCTAAACTCTACTTGATTTCAATTATTGTTTTCAAATTTCTTACCAATCACTCAAAAATCTAGCTTCATCATCTGTTAGAGCTTGGTTATCTATACAATTCTTCAATTCTCTCCCATTGGCATGCATTTTACTGACAAGACAGCCAAAGGAACAAGCTCTGGCCATTTCCTATTCTTTTTGGTTCGTTCTAAGCAGTGATTGTGGATCTTTTTCTTTTTGCATGTAGGTCTGATGGAAAAGAAGTAACGGTGAATAACAAATTTCTAAAGGCTAACAATCCACTTCTGGTAATTGATCAATTTTTCGTACTCTAGCTTACATATTTAACTTAGTTTCTGACCTCTTAGTATTTACTACTCTCTCACTGCAGTTGATTAACTTCTATGAGCAACATCTCCGATATAATCCAACATTATGAAAGAGCTACAAGTGTATCTGGCCACCATCATGTTTATGGTTTACAAGCTGTAATTTTGTAGCTTTAGGAGATTTGGTGGAGTATAATATGAATTCTTGGTAAAATTCTCAAGAACTGTGTTAAGAGGAGATCAAACATTTTCTTGCTCTGTTTTATTTCTACATGAGGATAAATGGAAAGTTATATTCTTTTTGGATATTGAAAATCCAATCTAGCAGTTTAAAGACTTGGTAAATCGAATTATGAACTTCTAAGGTTCTACACACCCCTCCCCCTCCCCCAAAAAAAAAAACAAAGTCCAAGGAAGGAGGGTAACAGCGTCCACGGCTAGCAATATTGTCTACTTTAGCCTGTTACGTATAGCCATCAACCTCACGGTTTTAAGACGTGTCTATTAGGGAGGTTTTCATACCCTTATAAGAAATACTTCATTCCCCTCTTCAACCGACGTGAGATCTTACAATCCACTCCCTTGGGGGCCAGCGTCCTCGCTAATATACCATCCAATGTCTGGCTCTGATACCATGTTAGATTTTGGTTTTTCCAAAAAAGCCTCATCCAATGGAGATGTATTCCTTACTTATAAACCCATGATCAACCCCTTAATTAGTCGACGTAGGAGTCCTTTCCCAACAATCCTCAACAAGGTGGTGTATGTTCATGCTTGTATTATAGTGCTAGACTAAATAATCTTGTAGGAAATTGTCACCCATTTCCATTTCCACATTTCCTTTACGTTATTTTTGATGTCCAATGGAAAGCTTCATACAGATTCAGGTGGTGGTTATATACGCTTTCTACAGATTCATGTGGTGCTTTTCTGCCCTCCAGATGCTGAGTGTTCATCAAAGAGCCATGGGATGCTTATTTATCAGGTTTTCT